ACACACACACACACACACACACACACACACACACACACACACACACATAAAACTACAGTGTAGAGGAAATGAAAGAAAGAAAGGACAAAGGAAAGTATGAAAGAAAAGTGCAGAGACAACAACAACAGAAAACGAGATGTAAAAAAGACCAAAAGACAAGAATGATTGAATGAAAGAAAAAAGATGAGCTATACAAGGAGAGCTGGAGGAAAGGAAAGACAAGAACGGGAAGAATAGAAGACCGGAAGAGAAGGCAGAAAGATAGAAGGAAGAGAAATGAAAGAGTGAAAGAAAGACAACAGGAGAAGAGATGAGAAAAATAAGAAAGAAAGACAACAGTGGAAGAGAGGAAGGAAGAACAAGAAAAGAGAGAATGACAAAGAAAGAAGGACAGCAAGAAAAAACAGACAAAAAGAACGAGAGACAAATGAAAAATGTAATGAAGGATAAACAAGAAGTTAAGAATAAAAGAGAGAAAAGAACGAGTCAAAGAGAAGAAGGATGAGAAATATAAAGAAGGAAAGCAGAGACCAGAAATGAAATAAGGAAGGAATGGACTAAAAAGATAAAAGATTAGACAGAAAAGATGTAAAGAAGCAAAGAAAGAAAGGACAAGAAAGAAGAAGAGTGTGAAAATAAACAAAGTTCGAAAGAAATACGGAAATACGATAAATCAATGAAATCAAGGAGAGGTGATAAAGCCTGTAACATCTGTTCATTCTGACACCAGCAGAGATGAATAAACACAGTAGCTTGTGTATTTAATAATAAGCACACACACACACACACACACCTCCCTCATTGTGTTTATCGTGGTCTGTAAACATGTAGTGCAGGACCCAGAATCCCCTGTACCTCTCCATGTCCGTGAGCCGTGACGAGTCCCGGAAACCTTTGGCGAACGGGTTGCTGTCGATCTTCAGTTTGGTGATCTGAGAAACGCAGCCGGAGAGAAAAGAGTTAATGACGGTCGGCTTTTTGTCTCAACACGCTGCTCCCTGCAGCCCGGCTCACAATAAAGCATTTCATATCGTCATCAATAAGGAAGTCCGGATCACGTTGTTTTGTTTTTACATTTACTCAAGTATCTAAAGTACAATGTTTAGGTCCATTTCATTCATACTTCTACTCCACTGCATGTAAAGCACAGTTGAAATATATTAATATGCATTCGGAAAAAGATATATAATAATACACATAAAAGTAATGTATTTCTGAAATAATGAGTACTTTTACTTGAGTAAGAGATGTGAACACTGCTTCCACCACTTCAGATACCTCTGATACTTATATTAACCTACATATGTGTCGGAGAATTGCTCAAATGGAGTTTGTAGCAAAAATATTGTTTTAAAATGTCTTGGGAACCAACAGCAGCATTTGGCAGTTAATCCAAAAGAAGAAGAAAAAAAAGAGGACCCGTGCTCATTGGTCCCCGTCAGCCGTCAATCACTCACCAGCTGGTTCTGATAGGCCGTGACGGCGGTGAAGACGGTCTCGACGAAGACGAAGGTGCGGAACTCCTCGGACTTTAGGTTGAGCAGGGAGGCCGTGTGCTCCTTCTTCTTGATGATGTGGACCCGCGGCTGGTACTTGTGCATGGAGTTGAGGATGATCTGCAGAGGACCAGCAGAGCCCTGATCAGTGACGATCAATGGGAAATGTACAGGTTCAACAGTCACACTGTCAGGGGCGAACAACAGACAGACATGACAATGAAGTCATTGTTCTCTATTGTCTGACATTTTATAGACTAAATGACTGAAAAAATAATCCACATTTCATCTTTCCTGAAGTTCAGCAAAAATAATTAGGGTAAAATCAGGTGCAGTGTATACTTTATGCATTTATTAGATACGTTTGCAATCAAACTAACTTAACTTAAAGTGCTCCAAAAATAATGTGTGTGATCGACGGCTCCAGAACAACCAAAGGGACCTCACGTTGAGAAGGTTTTGATTAGAATCCTGCTCCAGATCTTCATCATTCTATTCCTGATATTTTGTATTTTATAAACACATTCAAATATTGGCAATAAACAAAGAAAATATAAAAAATTAAATAAAAAGTAAGACATCTGTAAATAAATACGGAAATAAAACTGCAACAGTAGACACATTTGTAGAATGGCATAATCTTCTTCATTGCTCCGGATGAGCAGCTTTGCATATCATTTGAAATGGAAAACGTTCATATCCGACCAACTGACTAAAGGGAGGGGAAGAACGACGAAGAGAGAGACAGACAGAAAACAAGAGGAAGAAAAACAACTGAGCTTGTAAAACGACAGAGTGAGACGAATATTAAAAGGATGGTGGAAGGAGGTGAATAGAGAGAGAGAGGGAGGAGTGTGAACAGATAAAGTTGTTAACACTAAAGCAGCAGCTTTCCTGTCTGGCTGCAGCCCAGAACACTGTTAATATCCATCTCTCTCAACCGCTGACTCAGGACTCTTAATACCAAGTGTGTGTGTGTGTGTGTGTGTGTGTGTGTGTGTGTGTGTGTGTGTG